GGGGAGCCTGCTTCTCCCTCTCCCACTCCCCTGCTTGTGTTCCCTCTCTCGCTGTGTCTCTCTCTGTCAAATAAATAAATAAAATCTTTAAAAAATAAATAAATAAACAGTGTTTTAAATTCATAAAACTTTGTAAAGTTATTTGAAATTCAAGAACATTTTTCATTTACGCTCACCTCTTTAGTCAATTCTGAGAATTGGGACTCTTCTGCTTATCTACTATGACCCTTAAAAAGTTCTTTTCCTTCTGCAAAGAAACTGAGAAGCTTCTGGGAATATTTCTCTCCTTTTGACCATTTTCTCTTCTTCTAGAAACTCCTCTCTCCTTTATCCTGGTATTTCTTAACGAGAAGATGTACTAATCAGTAATATTCCTGGAGCAAAATTACCAGCCTGTGTGTACATCTGGGATCTCTTGCTCAAGGGCCAGCAAGATCAGAAAAGAATTCTCCTTGTTCATAGAACTTTGCAGCTCTATGTCGCCATCTCCCTAACCTTTGATGTATCTCCCTAGTCAAAGAGGACACTGAAGAAGAAGATGACTGTGGGCTGATGCCCAGTGTGGAGGAAATCCCTGAGGATGTGGCCTCCTTAACCATGAAACGAGAGAACAGTCTTCATCAAATACTCAGTCGCAAGTTGGTCATTTCATCAACTGGCAGCCTTTGTCACTTCCATATTTCCACTTGATCATTCTCTTTTTATCTGTGGGCTTTTCCTGAGGGAGGGGACCCCGGGACACTCCCAGCTCTTGCTTTGTTTCTTTGAATGAAGAGGAGAGGAGGGGGGTGGGGTGGCGTGTTTCCCCAGAGCTATCTGTTCTGAAATGCACTTCAATGTAAGGAGAGCGACTGTGACATGTGCTTGCAAGAAGACCCCAGGATGTGCCTGCACACTCAAGAATGTGTTCCTCCCTCTCAATTTCTCAGTTCTAGGTCCAATAGCAGGCATCGGAGATCCCTAAGAAACTCTTTGAAAACTCGGAATGTGAACACCCTGAAGGAGGAGGAAGAACCGGTGAAAGGACAGAAACTAATTAAGAAGGAATTCATACAAACTGGAAAGGTGAGCACCACAATAAAAAGTACCATTTGTGGTGATCTATAAGGCTTGGGATCTGAACATTTTAAAGTTTGATGACTTGAATACATACCTACAGGAGGGATAGGTCTCGTGTGCCTTGCAAATCATTAAATTCGTCATTGAAATGTTGGTAGAGGCTTTGGGCTTTCTATCAAATCATATTTCCAAGAATGACAGGTTTCCCGTGAATATCCTCATAGCACATTTCATGAGTAATTCAATTCTGATAGGTGGAGAGAACAACAAAACTGCTTTGAGATGCAAGTCTGAGAGCCAGAGAACACTAATCAATCTGAGAGCACACAATTCAAATTAATAAAACTTAAGACCTTAAACCTGGTTTTAACTTAAGTCCAAATTAATGAAGACAAATTCCAAGGTCTGCAGTATAACCCCCATCCCACTCTGTTGTGTGTTGTTGTCCCACTGTTTTTATCTCTTTCTCCCTTAACTGCATCTAGAAGCTCATTAATAATGTGATGTTATTTCCCCTGCACTGTATTTCAGCATCGATATTACCCTGGCCCAATGCAGAAATAGACCACAGAATACCAAGTTTGGCTAGCTGCTATCCACTTTTCCAGGGGACTCCACTCCCCCTTGTGATTGATATTCTAGGTAATTCCTCATGAAAAGCCATGAGGATTTCTAACACTGAGGGTGGGGGCTTTTCAGGTGAAGTTCTCCATCTACCTGAAGTACCTACAAGCAGTAGGATGGTTTTCGATATTCTTCATCATCTTTGCCTATGTGATCAATTCTGTGGCTTATATTGGATCCAACCTCTGGCTCAGTGCTTGGACCAATGACTCTAAAACCTTTAATGGCACTAACTATCCAGCGTCTCAGAGGGACCTGAGAATTGGCGTCTATGGAGCTCTGGGATTAGTACAAGGTACGTCTGATGGTTGACGGCCATCTCTTAGAGAATCTATCTGGTCTATGTACTTTACCTAGACTCAGGGGGGAAAAAATGCCATTGTGTCCTTGGTACAAGTCCTGTGCATTGTGCTGACTAAACTGGTTCCATTTCTAGGTGCATTTGTGATCATAGCAAATCTCTGGAATGCCTATGGTTCCACTCATGCATCAAACATCCTTCATAGGCAACTGCTAACCAATATCCTTCAAGCACCCATGAGTTTTTTTGACACAACACCCACAGGCCGGATTGTGAACAGGTTTTCTGGTGTAAGTATCTAAATCGCTGTATGATGTGTTTTTATGCTGAGGATCTTTCCACTCTGACAGGGACAGAATTCTCCTGTCCCCCTAGGCACCACCGTGCAGTTAGAGTTCTTTGGTCCACTTAGCATGCAAATGTTTATTGCATAACTTGTGTGAGGTCCCAAGGATCCTGGGGACACAGAGATGAAAAGCTCTGGCCCTTTAAGGAACTCACCATCTAGTGAGGGAGACAACCGAGGAAATAAAGGAGTATGATAGAAGACAATAAAACCAGTAACAATGATGTGTATATAGTGGTGTTCTGGGAGTACAAAACAGTGACAGAGAACAGCAGTACTAGCTCAGCCTGGGTGACAAGGTGGGAAATGTCAGAAAACATGAAACTTAAGTCCCAGAAGGAACTTACTTAGCCAGGGAGATGGTGGAGCAGGGGGTTGGTGGTAGAAGCAAAATGAGAAGGATTATTCTGCAGAAGGAAAAACACAAGTAAAAGCACAATCACTGGCTAGGATGGTGAATAAAAGAGAAAACAGGATAACCCTTGGCTTGGTCTCTGCTCCATTCCTGCTTCTATCTTTGCTACTTTAAGAATAAATTGGGTCTGGACTATGGAAGAGAGCCACCTATAATTTTAATGAGGGTCTAAAACATGGTGTCCATGTACTGCAGACCCTGGAGCTCTTCGCATTCATTTATTCAACAGCACTTACTGAGCACCTGATAGGAGCACTAGAATGCTTACTGACGGGGCTGGAGCGTTCATACAAATTGAATGCTAGTTATGTGCCAGGTTCTATTTAGGTACTCAATGGAATTAGGACCCGTGTACAGTTAGATTAATTGAATTGGCTTGGTTATAGGAGGATTTACCTGTAAGGCCCTATTAGCTTACAATGTATGAATGGTTTAATAAATTTGACAAATGAGAATTTACCTGAGAAGAGTGAAAACCTTTACCAAGTCTATTGAAAAAGTGAAGGGTACCTGCATATCTGTTTGGAGGGATTTAGAAAGATGAAGAAATTACAGAAATGAGATTGGTTATTGGGAGGAGCAGAACAGTATATTGCAAATGAATGTCATGAAATGATTAAATGAAGGAGTCACTGGGAACCCAGAATCAAATTCTCTGCTGGAATCAGGATGATGGAAAATGGCACAGGAATCCATTAGTATACCATTCTTCTAATTATGTGTTCCTAGGATATTTCCACAGTGGATGATACCCTTCCCTTATCCTTGCGCAGCTGGATATTGTGCTTCCTGGGAATAATCAGCACCCTTGTCATGATCTGCACGGCCACTCCAATCTTCATTGTCGTCATCATTCCTCTTGGCCTCATTTATGTGTCTGTTCAGGTAGGTTTGGAAATAGCTAGGTCTCCTCTCCTCTCTACTTACAAAAGCCCAGGCTCTTTCCTGAGAATCTTCTCTTTTGTCTATTGCTAGTCACTCAGTCCTCTCCAGCATCTTTGTCATTTAGTCCTCTATTGATATACCAAGGATCCATAGGCCACTGTCTAAAGCTCAAGTGTCAGCACCAATAGACTTGGTATATGGTTCACAGCAAATCTCACCTTAGCTGCTGCCCCCTGGAAGCTTATGTGAGGCAGATTTATGTTTGGATCCAAGACGACCTTGAGGTTGGCTCTGGACGATCTTGAAGTTCTGTAAGATCCCCCGTAATGGGTAGGTCATTGGTTGCTTCTAGAAGGTTTATGCTATGGCTGCTTCCTTGATTGGCTTAAGCTTATCTGCTGGGAGATGTCTCTCGGCAGGAGCTAGATCTCTTTTCACCTCAGGGCAGTTCTAGTTTCACTGGGATGTCTATGGATGACTTAGGTTCAATGTCAATATGTTCTTGAGGGAACAGGTAGCTTGAAAGCCAAGCCTCACAAAAACACTGGAGCAAGAGGAAGGGACTCCATTCCCCTATTAAAAACTGATGAGGGGAGGCAAGCTGTGGAGAGGATTCTTTGGGATGACCTGTTCACCTTGGGAAAACAATTCTGAAACTCTTGCATTCAAGGGCAGCCTTGTCATCTATGGTAAGGTGACACCCCCTGGTATTTGTGTTCAGTTCCTCAGGTACCTTGTTATCTCAATAACAGCCTCTTGGCCATTAATAACAAACCAACAAATAAGAATCAGGATATTTAAGGAAACTTCCAGCTATAACATTTTGAATTCTGACTCTCAAATGCCCAGCTCTTCCCTGGTTTCAACAAATCTTCACAGAATCTAGTAGCACCACTGAACCTCATCCTTCAACCCTTGCGTCTCAAAGTCCATCTGCACACTTTTAGTTCTAGTTCTTAGACTCTCAACACTCCACACATTTCCAGAACTATCTCTACCTTCACACACCATTGCAACACAGTTTGATCACTTACCTGACTCTGTTCAATTTTTATCTAAACCTCAGGATACCTTTGGCCATTTCCTGCCCATCTCCACTTTCCACGCCCCTTAGGTCCCAGCTGCAATTTACAAAATCCATTTGGAGACCATTTTTCTAGCTGCTACAAAAACTGTCACTTGGACAATGTATGCAGATTTTTGGGAGAATATGGATTAGGCTGACAAAATTCCTCATGTGGTTATAGTCTCACTTTCATCGTCTTCCGATCCCCACCAACCTCTTCCTTTGGGCCTCTCTCATCATTCCTCTAGCCAGAGGTGAGGCTGGAGGCTTCTGTCCTGTTCAAATATGGGCTGTGCCCATCAAGGTGAAGGACACCGGGTCAGGGCCACCAAGGAAGAGGTATTGCATATGCAACATGATTATGTGACTGACTCTTTACTTTTGGGGTCCAGATATTTTATGTGGCCACTTCCCGCCAGCTGAAACGTCTGGACTCTGTCACCAGGTCCCCAATCTACTCTCACTTCAGTGAGACTATGTCAGGTTTGTCCGTCATCCGTGCCTTTGAGCACCAGCAGCGATTTCTGAAACACAATGAGGTGGGGATTGACACCAACCAGAAATGTGTCTTCTCCTGGATTACCTCTAACAGGTGAGGCTGCCCCAGGGTATTTACCCAAATATGCGCTTTGGGGTTCTACATGTTTGACATTAACTATGGGAGGGCAGGTGTAGCCAGTGATGTGAATTTCACTGTGGCCAGTCATGCCTGTCACGTAAGTAGAAGTAAGTATGGGCTTTGGAGTCAGAGACTGGGTCCCTGTGCCTACTATGCTATTTACCAAGCTATAGGTAAAATGCCTTGACCTTCTAAGAAAAATCTCATTTTTTGTTTTTACAATGACTAGAACACAACCTATATCAGAGAGTTCTGGTGGAAGTCAAATAACCTCTATAAACATTTGGTATCCCAAGTATAGAACAAGTGCTGGGTGAGCTGGGCATTCGTGGTTGGCATCCCTGAGAGCAGATGTGAGATTCTCCATAGGCAGGACACTCTTCGTAGGGTGGTGAAAGAAGCTGAGGGTGGAGGGAAGAGACTCCATAGTCGTCACTCCAGTGATGACATAAATGGAAAGCTCATATCCTATGAGGTGAATCCCCAGGTAGGGTAAGCATTCTTCATTTCTGCAACATTATGAGACGTTGGCAAGAAGTGATATGTCCTTGAACGAAGAAGGTCTTTTTCAGGAAGTGAAAATTCCTGAGTGGCTTCCACATTTTCTTAAAGTGTCAAAGGCAGACTCATGATGCTCGGTATTATCTGGAACATGGAGAGGTCAGGACAGGACTCTGATTGTAAAGATACTTTATTAGATAGTTTACAAGAATGAAAAAATTAAAAATTAAAAAATAAAATCATGAAATCAGGGTACATTGAACCTTCATGCGGTGCTTACTTTCTAAGCTTACAAATGGATTCTCTGGCATTATTTGCCCTGCCTAATCAAAAGAAATCACTTAGAACATTTGTTTAAAAATGCAGATTCCTGGGGTGCCTGGCTGGCTCAGTCGGTAGAGCATGCCACTCAGTTTTGGGGTTGTGAGTTTGAGCCCCATGCTGGGGTAGAGTTTACTTAAAAAAAAAAAAAAAAAGAAAGAAAAAGTGAATTCCTGAACTCCACCCTAGGCTCCCTGAATCAATCTCCTGGGGAAGAGTCTATGAATTTTCTTGCATGAATTTTGTATTTTTAACGATTACTTCAGATGATTCTTATGATTTGGCAAGTATGGGAGACACTGAATCACAGGATTCCCTTAGTTTAGCAAACTTCTCTAGTACCTTTTAAAATGCAATTTATTTAAAAGACTTTAGGAACATATGGTATAGTCAAATTGAGGCATCTTGTGAGAACACAGCCCAACCAACTCAATCCCTCTCAAAATGTTCCATGAACACCTAGGTTGCTGGTTAAGGTAAGGAGGTGAGTATCAGTGACCCTTTTCTGTCTGGTTCTGTTGCCCTACAGGTGGCTTGCAGTTCGTCTGGAGCTGATTGGGAACCTGATTGTCTTCTTTTCATCCCTGATGATGGTTATTTATAGAGATACCCTAAGTGGAGACACTGTGGGCTTTGTTCTGTCCAATGCACTTAATGTGAGTCTGAAGGTTGGGAGTTAAATTAATGCATTTATTCTTAAATTGAGTCTAGAGTATACCACAGAAGTTGTGTTCGATTCCTTTCTAGATCCAGAGGGACTAGGTAAGACTGAGGTTCAAACTCTGGCTCTGTCTCTTACTAATTGTGTAACATATGGACATGTTCCTTGCTAAGTAGGTACCAGTGTCATCTGGAAAAATGGACAAAAATTCTGTTGCCCTTGGGAGTTAAGAAAGCAATCTGAGGGGTGCCTGGGTGGCATAGTGGGTTGAGTGTCCAACTCTTGGTTTCGGCTCAGGTTGCGATTTCAGGGTCGTGAGATAGAGCTCTGCGTTGGGCTCTGTGCTGCTCAGTGTGGAGTTGGCTTGGGATCCTCTCTCCCTCTCCCTCTGCCCCTCCCCCTACACTCGTGTGCACACACACTCTCTCTCTCTCACTCACTCACTGTCTCTCTCAAATAAATCTTAAAAAAAAGAAAGCAATTCAATGTGACTTAATCTGATAGTTCTCTTTGCCTCTTTGCTTGTTTCTAGTCAAGAGAATAAATGAGTTTCTTTTAAGTAGACTCCGTGCCCAATGTGGGGCTCAAACGCACGACCCCGAGATCAAGAGTCACATGCTTCACCAACTGAGCCAGCCAGGCGTCCCCAGTTCTTTTCCATAATATAGTAGTAACAGAAAGTCTTTTGAATATCTTCTATTTTTGTTTTTCTTAAATCACAGAATAGAGTTAATTCTAATAAAGAAGGTAGAGTCCAATAAAACTATATAATGCATCCCTAGCATGACTAGGCAATACGTGTTAGACATTTCCTAGTGTCCAAAATTGTGGCTGGCACTACAATCAATATTCAGTAAATGATACTCAATGAGTCATTTGGCCATCTTTCATGATAACTTTTGGAACTAATACATTGGTTTACATAACTACCAGTGAGTTCTGTATGGTGCTATGTTCATTAGGAGTTAATAAGGCCCAAGGCAATCATGGTGGGGCACCCAAAATGACTCTGTTGTTCACCAGAGTTAGTCAGCTCCTCGTGCCACTGCTCCTTCATCCCCCCGCCCCCATTTTTACGCTTATTAACCTCAGGAAGATGGGGCAAAGACAACTGTTAGACTGAATGAAAACAAAAACATTCAAATATCAACAATTTCATTTCGTTCGACCTACACAAAGTGGTTACTCTTCTCTCCAACATCCTGTACTCTCCCTCTTTTTAACCACCATTTGCTCAACAAAAACTCCCTGGTCTAAGTCTATGTGTGAAAGAAGCTTGCCTCTAAGTAATCCACAGATTCCCTAGACTCTAGACTGGCTCAGACTTTGACAACCTCTTACTGCTGGTTAGACGTATTTTTGTAGGTAGGAGTTTATTGGGGTAAAGGAGGGTCCATGTGAATGCTCCACCCTGACGGTTGGGCTCTTGTTGAGAGCAGAGAGTGGAAGCAGCTTTTTGGAAGGCTTTTCCTACCCTGTGCCTCTTCTTATGCTTTCTCCATTTATAGAATGCCACCCACTACTCCTTCCACAAAGAACATTAGGTTTACAGGCAGGAGATTGGAGTTCTGGACCCACTCTACCACCTGCTGGCTTCTCCAACCTCGGGTTAGCCCAAGCCCCTCCAAGCTCATGTTGTCTTTCATGTGAGCATCACACAGTTGCGCACTTAATTGTCTTCCAGATCACACTGGTCTCATTGCCTCCCCCTAGGAGGTGAGGATTGTCACTAACACTTTTCCTTGCCCTCTCCAAGAGCTCGGCGTAGTGCTAGGTACAAAGTAGGCACTGGACTGACCTTACAGTTTGACCAATTGAGTTGGTTTCGGAGCCTGGGATGATCTTTAGTCTTCTGGTTTTTCTATAGATCACACAGACCCTGAACTGGCTAGTGAGGATGACATCAGAAATAGAGACCAACATTGTGGCTGTTGAAAGAATAAATGAGTACATAAAAGTGGAAAACGAGGTAAGGAGGAATTAGAAGAACCCGGGGACAAGGCAAAAGGAAAATGTTTCCTTCAAGAGAGCATCTTTACCCTGTCTAGTGATTTCACATGGAGTCATAAAGGTTCTCCTAAAGTTTACCTTGCTCTAATTTAACCCAATTTCTTGAAACTTAAGAATAGGAAATGGTTTAGGGGGAGGTCGGGTCTTGGAATGCACCAAGTTAAAGGTGTCTTCATTCTGGAAGTCCGCAGAGCAGCATCGTGGAATGGAGTTTCTTTAATCGAATAGGGTAGGAACCTTCTGGAAGTACTCGTCTAATTCATTCTAGTCGATGCAGATGCCCACAGATGGCTGGGACACTGCTATCCAGAAGTCTGTGACATGAGTCCTGTGGGGACTATTCAGTGAGTTGCCACCATGTAAAGCACTTCTCTTCCTGTCTCTTTGCCAGGCACCCTGGGTGACTGATAAGAGACCCCCCCCAGGTTGGCCCAGCAAAGGGGAGATCCGGTTTAGCAATTACCAAGTGCGGTACCGGCCGGAGCTGGATCTTGTATTGAGAGGGATCACTTGTGACATCAGGAGCATGGAGAAGGTAGGTGGAGCGGAAGAAAGGCCTGAACGTGAGTCCTTGTGATCAGAACACAGTTGGACACAGGGGTGGAAAGCAGCTGTACTCGGCTTTCATCATCAGGATGCAATGAGAGGGTCAGGGCAGTCTTCAGCCCTGGGGAGGTGCAGGGACACAGTGCCACCACCAGGGGGCAGAATATTGACAAGGGATCAGACTGACCGGGGCTGGAAGGGTTTTCTGCTCAGCCCTTCCTGTCTCCCTGCTGGCACCGGGCGCGGCAGCATCTTCCCCTCTGGCTGATGGGTGCTCATTTCCTGTAAGGGCCATGACCTGTAGAGGGGAAGTCCGGAAACACCCAGCCTAGTGAAGGAACTGGTGAGAACAGCAATGTGGAGGTGATCCCTGCAGAGAATGACTTAGTTCTCTGGTCTACAAAGTCCTGCACCTTCTTATGGGGTTCCTGTTCTCCGAGGACTTGGGGTCTGATGTAAAAATGTAGAAATGTGTAAAAAAAAAAAAAAAAAAAAGTCTGGGTAAAGATGCTGAGGTCCTGCTGATGAGGTTCTCAACTGATGTGAGGCCTGATCCTTCCCTTTTCTTCACTTCTAAACAAAGATTTTTTTTTAAAACTATAATGTCGTCATAATTAGAACAACAGTTGCTGATGTGTCCATTTCCAACAGTCATTGTAGTTCTGATCAACCAACAATTGAGAAGGTAGAATGAGAAGGCATCTTTTTCTGACATCTGGGCACTTTTCTCACCAAAACCAAAATCAGTTGAACATCTTAGAGATGAAGTAGTCAATCACTTCCTCTTTCCACCTGGGATTATGAATGCCCCAGGCTACATTCCCCCCCCCACAAAGAAGTACATGGTGAACTAATGTGCAAAGGAACTGTATTTACAGATTGGTGTGGTCGGCAGGACAGGAGCTGGGAAGTCATCCTTGACGAATGGCCTCTTCAGAATCCTAGAGGCTGCAGGTGGCCAGATCATCATTGATGGAGTAGATATTGCTTCCATTGGGCTCCATGACCTCCGAGAAAAACTGACCATCATCCCCCAGGTGAGCTCTAGAACTTACTCTGTACATGCGGCAGGGGACAGCTTTTTCTGCAGGAAACATATGCATCTTCTTCTTGATGTATATTCAGTTATCAGTGTCATTTCTGCAGGCTACCTGGGACACCTAAGCCAGTTCCCTAAGACACATCCTTTCCAGAACTTAAAAAATAACTTTGGCATTTTGTGGGGATATGCTTGTGTGACTGCCAGTGTCTAACCGCTAGGTGGCAGCAACACAACAGAAGTCCAACAGAGCAGATGATTATTTAGCATTTCTATAGCCCATCCTGGGTTAGCAAGACCTTTGCAATCAACATTAGCAGTTTTGCTGCTGAAGCTTGAAACCATTAAGCTTTATACTCCCCATTTGATACGGTTAAAAGATAGCGGAGGGAATTTGCGGCAGGTTTTTGCCAGCAAGTGGAACGCTTAGTGCATCAGCAAAAAAGGCTTCCCTTTGGCTTCCTCTCTGGACTCGACTAAATAAGGTCTGCCATGGAGGCTCCTTGGGTGGGGGGTGGGCGGTGGCGTATGTGGGTCCTAATTAGAACCATTCCTCCTCTATTCTTGTAGCCAAGTCTCTGGGGGTGGTTTTGGTTTGTCTGGTGTTCACTCAGTTTGATGTAATCTTTTCTCCAGCTTCTTCAAAAGCCTAATAAATTCTTCCATGACTGTACTGTCCCTTCCCCTGCCCACCCCTGATCCCTTCACTTCCATGGCCTGAGTTTCTTTTGAGGGTGTGGAGCATTCCTCTTACTTTCTTAAAATATGCTGAGGCAAACTTGGAAATCCATAAACGAATCTCAGAATGAAAAACAAAACCAAGAACTCCTCTTAATCCTGTGGCCGCCCCTCTAATCTTCAGTGCAGAAACTTGGCAAAAGCTTGACAACTAGCCAGCTTTGCATCTCAGGCCAGTCCTGTCTGCCTTCTCCTGGCCACAAAAAACTGCTAGACCCTTTTTTGTCATGAGCCTCAATAGCCCCCCTCCTCCCTTGACTTGCAGGATCCCATCCTGTTCTCTGGAAGCCTGAGGATGAACCTAGACCCTTTTAACAACCACTCAGATGAGGAGATTTGGAAGGCCCTGGAGCTGGCTCACCTCAAATCCTTTGTGTCTGGGCTGCAACTTGGGTTGTCTCACGAAGTGACAGAGGCTGGTGACAACCTTAGGTAACATTTCATAACCCACTTCCCCCACAGGCAGTGGGAGGGGGTGGGGGGAAGCACCCCTTTGTTCCTGGTGCTAGGTAGTCCGTGGTATCATAGAATTCCTGCAGACCTGGGTGCCTTTTGAGTGGTAGGCAGGGCATGGACCCTGAGCTGAGGAAGCTCAGAACAGAAGGGAGGCCCAGTAGCTCTGGCTTCCCTTGGGAACTTGTTATAAATGCAGACTCTAACTCTAGACTTACTCATCAGAATCTACATGTTAGCAGGATTCCCAGGTGATTTGTGTGTACATTACAGCTTGAGAAGCACTACCTAGAGCATGGATTCTTAACTAGGCTACACACTGGAACCACTGGGGGAAATATATAAAAATCCCAAAGCCCAGGCAGTACCTACCCCAGACCCGTTGAATCAGGGGCCCAGGTGACTTCAGTGTGTAGCCTTGATATAGAATGCCATCCTGTTTGTTTTCCATCAGCAACAGATCTAGGTACAAGCAGGATGTAAGTGGGTCTTTAGGCCTATGGAAAAGACCCTTTAGCACAAATACGTATTGATTGTGTACAAAATAACGTCACGTAGCGAATACGCAGCCGTGAGGGGCTGTGTGGGCCCCTCTGGCAGGATGTGACACGGGGGCCTTGACACATCTGGTTTGTGAAAACAACAAATCCTACCCGCTTTCTCTGTCCATGCTGGGGGACACCTAAATGGCATGACCAGGGCCTTGATTTCAAACCTGGGTTGGAGGTGTTGAAGCTTCCATTTCTCTGGTGAGTGATGGGAGATGGGTCACGTGGAGAGAGATAGCAGCTGAAAGCCAAACTGGCACCTGGGCCCCAGGCTGTTCTAGAAAGCCCCCCAGGGCCAGGCAGGAGTGAGGTACAACCAAACTACAGTTTTGCCTGGTCTCTGTGTGGACACTACAGAGGAAAACTGGAAGTTCATCTTGGGTGACTTCTCATCTCCCGCAGAAATTTTCTTACGGAGAATTACAGAACTTTAGCCACCCTCTGTTTAATATGTTACCTAATGGCCACAGCAGGAAAGAGCAATTAGCGAATTCCCGAATATTTCCTCCACATCATTTCCCAAAGCTGCTTTATATAAGTAAGAGGTCCAGCCTTCATTACTGGCTTTTAGCAAATTAAAGCGATTTGCATTTTACAAGCATATTCGAATTCCACATACATTGCATCTCCCACCAAGACATCATGTTCATTAGATAGCTACGTCTCTAATCAAGGCAGAAGGCCTTGAAAAAATAATTAGCCTTGAGACTAGAATTACACATTAAAATAATGAATGGGTTTGCTAAGGCCACTAAGAAATGCCACTGGGGCATTCTGATGCAGTGTCACCCTATATTAACGGTGTCAGGTCAAATACTGCTGCGGTGAACTTGGTGGCCTTCCATCTTACTTTGGAATTGCTGCTGATGTGCTGGGATATCACCTAGTGATGCAAAGAACCGTTCCCAGGCTAGGGTTTTCCAAACTCATTAAACATGGAACTTGCCTGGGGTGCTTATTAAAAATATACATCCTGAGCCTCCTCCCCATTCTGCTTGAGAAGAGCAGAGCCCAGAAATATGAATTTTAAAATGAAGCACCTGCGGTCGGAGAGGGTTTGGAAAACCTCGTCTTAGCCTCTTCTGTTAGGTGTTAATTCTGGGGGAATTTCAGAGTAGGGCTTTCAAAAGTTGGATCTGGAACGTGAGCAGTGCACGTGCGTGTGTGCACATAACCCCGTTAGGCCTTGGTCCATCAGGGCTAATGCTCAGCTTGTTCCCTCGGCTGCAGCATAGGGCAGAGGCAGCTGCTGTGCTTGGCCCGCGCTCTGCTTCGGAAATCCAAGATTCTGGTCATGGACGAGGCCACGGCCGCCGTGGATCTAGAGACCGATCACCTCATCCAGACGACCATCCAGAAGGAGTTCTCCCACTGCACCACCATCACCATCGCTCACAGGCTGCACACCATCATGGACAGCGACAAGTGAGTGTGGTGACGGAGCTTGACAGACACCACTGAGCCCTTGAGCGACAGGAATAGCATTAGTCGTAAGATCTCCCACAACTGAAGGTCTAGCCACCATCATTTTACTGAGGAGGAAACCGAGAGTTCCAGTAGTTTGTCCACAATTATACACCAAGCTAATGAAAGCCAACAGGGTTAAGGGAACGGACCTGAGGGTAAAATGGGCAATTGTATATGATTATTAACTGAGTGTGGGGAGGTGGAGACCCAGCCACAGATCCTCTCAACTACACTGGGTCTCAGCAGCTGCCCCAGAACCATGACTAGAAGTTTTCTGCTTCTTCCCAACTCTGGCACAGTACATTAAATATGGGGGTAATGTCAGTAATCTTGGAAACTGTTTGGAGACCACAGGCTCCCTTAAACAATGTATATCTTAAAAAAAAAAAAAAACTTATGTAAATGGACTTATACTGTATATATTCTACTACTTGATTCTTCAGCATTATATATGGAACACACCCATGTTAATGCAGACAGCTGCAGTCCATTCGTTCTCACTGCTTTGTAGCCTTTTATGAATGAATATACCACGACTTAGTCCTGGTTGTTCTTATAAAGGCCCAGATTTAAGATGCTGCTAAGACCTTTCTTTCTCCTTTGTTTCAGGATAATGGTCCTAGACAATGGGAAGATTGTAGAGTACGGCAGCCCTCAAGAACTGCTGAGAAATTCAGGCCCCTTTTATTTGATGGCCAAAGAAGCTGGCATTGAAAGTGTGAACAGCACATCATTCTGACAGTAGGTTCCATGGGTTGGAAAGGACTGTAAGGATCATTGCTTATTTTTTGTGAGAGATATCACACAGAAGTGTGTAAAATGTACATTTAAAGAAGGATCCTATTATATCCAGCTACAGTAGACCCCCGCCAATCCTGCTTTGATGATCCCACTTTGATTATACCTCCTTCCTACTTACCTTCCCAGAGATAGCTACTATCCTGAATTTGGTGATAATCATATCCTCTTGCTTTTCATTTTAGTTTTACTGCTTGGTATATACCCTTAAACAAGTTGTATCTTTTTTAAATTTATGTAAATGGCCTGACTCATACTTGACATATTCTTTTTTTTTTTTTAATTTTATTATGTTATGTTAGTCACCATACAATACATCATTAGTTTTTGATGTAGTGATCCACGATCCATTGTTTTCGTATAACACCCAGTGCTCCAAGCAGTATGTGCCCTCCTTAATACCCATCACCTGGCTAACCAATCCCCCCTCCCCCTCTAAAACCCTGTTTGTTTATCAGGTCCATAGTCTCTCATGGTTCATCTCTCCCTCCAACCGCCCCCCCCCATTTTTCCTCTCCTTCTCCTAATGTCCTCCATGTTATTCCTTATGTTCCACAAATAAGTGAAACCATATGGTAATTGACTTTCTCTGCTTGACTTATTTCACTTAGCATAATCTCCTCCAGTCCCATCCATGTTGATGTAAAAGTTGGGTATTCATCTTTTCTGATGGCTG